CACACACACACACACACACACACACACACACACACACACACACACACGCAGGTGAAGTGCATAAGCATCCCGATGAATCTCCTAAAAATAAGCTCAGCTGCTGCTCTCTGCTGTGTTAACGAGGTTCCTGTTTTCAGACGCCTCGCTTCCAGGTCAAATGATCCGGGCTGATTTAGGACCAGTGAAGGCGACACGCACATACATGTTACATGTATTCACTTCATGTTTATGGCACATGTACTAAACACAACTTCATGTAGATTTACTGAAACAAAAATAAAGAAATGAGAGATTCCTGATGAAAGCCTGAGCAGCACCAAAGTTACAGCCACGCTCAGCATCCTGAGAACAGAGATCGTCTGTGTTAATAAACATGAGTTTGGATTATATTCCAGATTATTGTTGACTGGACGACGACACCGAGAAACAAAAAGCGTTTCTGTCCCTACAGGTACAAACTGCAGCACGTCGCCTCTAAGGAGGCGCTTTTGACCTTTCGTAAGGCCACTGTGCTACATCCATGTTCTCAAACAGGAACAAACGCGTTCACAGTCACAGGCTCTTCTGGGTTTTTCTATGTGCACCATCAGGAGAAAGTCAGTGTTCAGACACGTAAGACGTATTTCCCAAAATCTCCACGATGTCCAAGATGTTCCCGTTTTAAAGATAACCACACTGTCCCGTGTTCAAAACGTTCCTTCATTAGCAAAACAAACACATTCAGCAGTTTCCTTATAGCCAAAACATCCCAGCAAAGCCTTTCCCAGTAATAATTTTACCATCAATATACTCCAGGGGATTTTTTATGTGACCCCAAAAAAACTCATTTTAAGGAATAGCTAACAAACTGCCCCCCCCCCCCCAATAATATTCCTGCTTTCTAAAACTTCAAACTTTCCAGTAAATTTCTAAAATCTCCAGATGTTCCATAATGTTCCGACTTTCCTAAGACCTTCCAGCGAGCCTTGAATCTGACCACGTGAAAGTGTTTCCACTTTTTTGTCTTCTCGTGGAAGCAACTTTTCCTTTTTCCTGCAACACAGTGTCGAAGAATACTGCTACCTTCCAAAACGAACATTTTCCTCGTGAACAAAAATATTTTCATTTCCACAAATCGACCGGCTCAGTTCACACACTGGAGCAACATCGACCTCTTACTGGGAATACTGGGAAAGCTCTGTTACCACCAACAAACAGCTCCTTTTACAGATTACATGGCAAACCGCGCACTATTTAAAATATCCATACTTTCCAACATATTATGGATAAATCTCCTCATGCATATTCAAAGATGTCCGTGTTTTCTTAGATCGGCCCACTCAGCTCGCAGACTGGAGAAGGATCGATCTCTTACTGGGAATACTGGGAACGCTCCGCTCTACCCAGCAAACAGCTCGTTTTACAGATTGACCGACACGCAGACCTGAGCGCTTATAACGCGACAGCTGCGCGATATTTGTGTGGGTTTGTGGTGGTTAGAAGCTGTTAGACGCCACGTGATGTGGGAGGCGGAGGAAGGAAAGGAGGAGAGGAAGGAGGCCATGGCAGCTTCAGCATCCTCCTCCACCCAGCCTCCATTTTACATCAAACCAAACACGAAGACAAAATCGCTGCAAACCGAGTCAGAACATGCCCGAACCCACGGTCTCCTCCCCACGCAGCGTGTTTCTGACGCTGAGTGATGAAAATGTTGGGATTCGGGCTCGGTGCGCGTTTGTGGCGATGTGCGCAGTGAAGGCCAGGACGGGAAAAACGCCCCTGTGACACAATGAAAACATCGGCAGGCTGCTTAAAGCCCACCGGAGCCACTGTAAAGAGATTTGAAGCTGCTGCTGCTGTTTTCTCCATCCTTCCTCCGCAGCATCGTCATCCTCACTAAAGCACCTGCTCTGCCTCCATCGTCTCGTCGCCTCCAAACCCCGTAAATGAAGCTCAGCTCGGACTCAAATCTGCGCTTTGACGTGTTTTACTTACCTGAGAACAAGCCGCTGGTTGATGAGTGGGTGACGAGCTTCTCTCCTGTCTGATGGCAGCTCCGCAGCACTCACCTCTGTGACGCTGCGCTCCTTCCGCCGCTGTATATAGTCCTCCCTCTCTCTCCGCCCAGACGGTTCTGGCTGTTTCCGTCTGCGTCGCTCCACCGCCTCTCTCGCTCACCTCTCCGCAAACACTTTAAAAGTCGATGAAACGTCTGAGGAGACGTTAGACTATTTTTTAAAAGTGGTAAACGTGTATGATTACAATTATAATAACGCCCCAATATCCGAAGTATGACTCATTTACAAATCTCTGTGCTTTCACTATAAAACAGCGACATAAAGTGAGCTCAAGAACAAAAAGAAACTTCATTTCACCTCTCAAACATCACTGTGCGCGTCTCCTATATGATATATTTAACTTTTGTTGTAACAACCAACGATTTATGCAGGAAAATAATGACTATGAACAAAGTTGCCCAAACGTTTGCATCCCGCTGTATAATTCCGTCCATTCTGGTTACTCACACTGAAATCTTCATCACTGCCATGTTCAGCTCTGCTTCCTGTCATTCTGTCAGCGCCAGCATCTCCAAACCACACATCACAGCATGTCTCACTACCATTTATTTTTATTTAAAAAGGACAATGCACATTAATCTACATGAGCACCTGTATTCATTATGTAAATATTTAGCTGCTAGCCAGGTTGATGGCATATTAAATTCTTTCACGCTTGACACTCATCCCCACCCTGCCTGCACTCTCTTCTTCACCTTCATCTGTTCACCTTTCCACCCGTCTCCCTCTCGTTGGCACACGTGTATTCTCTCTTACTGCCACTGGCCTTCATTCGTCTTCTCTTCAGTGCATACCTCCACCTCTCCAGCTGCTCCCTACTCTCAGTACCAACCAAAATACCATCTGCAAATATCAGAGACTCATGCCTCACCTCTTCTGTCAACTTGCCCATCACCACTGCAAACAAGAAGGGGCTCAGATGTGTGTGTGTGTGTGTGTGTGTGTGTGTGTTTTGTTTTTGCTCTTTGCTGCATTGTTTTCTGTGTTAGTTGCCAAGATTTGGATTTGGCGCCTTGCCTGGGAGTGAATCACCATAATGACCCTAATATCACTGAAACGCACAGTTGCGGCTTTCAGGAGTCATTTGAATTTTGCGATTGCGTGAATGGTTGAAGAAGTAGGTTAGTTTGACCTAAAAGACCTCGCGGGTTAACCTAGTTCCAACAGTTCTTTCATCAGTTTTACTGCAGCACTGCACATCACCTTTGTTCTTGAAACTCCGTACCATTGCACTTCTCAGTTCCTCTGGTATCCTCTCACTCTCATGGATTGTGTTAAACAAGCTGGTTAAAAAGTTCATCAGCAGGTATTTCATCTGGACCAACTGGACCCTGCTGTAGCTGCCCTCACTTCCTCCTTACAAATCTTCTGCATTTCCTGAAGAACCGTCTCCTATTTCTTTCAGATTGCACCTCCATCATATTCAACCTGTGCACCTTCCTCCACTTCTATTTTACGTTATGTTCCTCCCTTTTCTTGAACTATGGGTTCGCCACAGTCATTTCCATTCTTATTCTTCTTTTTGCAAAATTTGCCACTATTTGTTCTTCAGCATTTATCTCATTAACACCACACCTGCCCAACACATCTAAATCCCCTCTGTTCCCTTCACCTACATGTTTACTGAGGCTCCAGATTCTTACATTTGAGCTTCTTCCCTCTAGTCTAATAGTTACTATTCCTCTTACACTTTCCAGCTTTCAGTTTAAAGTTCTCAAATTTGATCATTTGTCTGATCTGAAAATTACCAACAGCATTATTTTTTATGTAACTCCTCTGAGCTCCATACAAGCAATGACCACTTTAAGACATGCAGATCAGTGCTTCTTCTCTCACTCTTGCATGTGGCTTAGATGGTTTAAAGCCTGTGCACTGTCCATCAAAGTCCTCCAACCATCCTCTCTGAGATTAACTTAAGATCTACAGTATGTAGCGAACAGAAGCCAAAACTGGAGTAATATGTGATTTCCTGTTAGTGCCATAGTTATGTCACGTACAGGTCTGGTGACCCACTGTTTCTGTGTTTGGTTTAAGTTATTTTATTTGAATGATTGCTTCCTGCTTGTATTATATTTATAGTTCCTGGTTTCTGTTCTGTTTCAGGGCCTCCCCTGAGTTCCTGGTGTCGTGTCTCCACTGAAGGTTTCCTTCTGTATTCTTGTTCTCATTATTTGTCTCCATGTGTTGTATGCTTGTCTCAGTTCTCTGTCACTGCATCTTCCCTGTGTTCCTCCCTAGTCAGTCACGTCTCCTTGGCTGTCTTCTGTTTCTTGTCCTGTGTTCAGTGCATTGAGTTTTGAGTTTTCCCCGTCGTCTCATTATGTCAGATTAGTCCCAGCTGTGTTTGCCTCCTGTTTCCCATTTCCTTGTTAGTCCCTTGTGTATTTAAGTGCTGTGATTTCCCCTTACAGTGCTGTTTTTCTTCTGTGCTCCTGGTGATGTTCTGGTTTTCTGTTTTGAGCTTCATGTTTTGAGTTTCTAGTTTTGTTTTCTTGTATTACATGTTCGAGTTTTCTCCAGCAATGAAGCTGCCGTTTTGAGTTTATTCCTTCGTGCACGAGTGCTGCGTTTGGATCCTTCATCCTGCCGGCCACAGCACACACATAGACAAGTTAAGTCTTACCACAGCATTCTGTATAGTCTGAAAGGGATCCAAAGCTTATTTGTTGAAACAAGTAAAAAGACTTTTACAGTAAATCAAACGATAAGAGATTAAAAAAAAAAAAAAGACTGACTTTTCCTCTTTTTTTTTTTTTTTCATGCTCCAAACCTGAAAACAACCAATGACTTTTGTTTCTGGGCCCAAGAACCACAGGGTCGTGTCTCTAATGTAAACTTGCAAAATTAGAAACTGAACATACTCCGACTGAAATGCCCTAGAATCTGAGTTTCTTTTCCTTTTCAATAAAAAGGTTACGGGCAATTTAGTTTTTAGCATTTTTTTTCTTCCTCGTAATGAACGTGACATTGGTGAACCGGTGTGAGAAGAAATAATAAAAACATCTCCTCCCATGATTCAGCGTCTTTCACACTAACGTCAATAACACAATATAATATTAAGCGCAGATGATATAATAAGTTTATAATAATATAATATCAAGATGGCAGACACAGAATCACAGCTGAACTGGATTAAATCTGTCATTTGTGGATCAACGCCGCCCTCTAGTGGACACAGATATTCACATAATGTCGCTATGATGACACGGAGCTGTCAGCAAACACAGGTTTGTAGCCTACAGTAATTACAACAGATAACACCGTCTGGTAAACATTAGCTCTACACAATAACAACAACAATGAACGTATAAATGGAAATATAGCCTGTGAAGCCAGGCTACTACATGCTTCACTATTACAACATGGCTACTCTCACACTGCAGTAACAAAGTGTCTACATGGGTGAATTTCCTCCATTAGTCTGGTAACGCAGGAAGATAAATAAGCAGGGTCAGAAGGCGGGTGTATCCACCCCCACTTACTTCCACCAAGTTCTGACCAGTCCAGCTGATCCTGGGAAAGTTTCTGTGATTCATCCCACCAGCCACAGTGCACGGGGAAGCCGTGGATCTACAATCATAACTGCTTTGCCCCCAAGAATGTCAGGAGTCTTGAAGTTCCACTTTTGTCGGCTCTGCAGGCTCGGAAGAAAATATTTACATGAAACGTTTCCAAAAGTGAAGGACACACCTGAGCCATCCTTCAAATTCGGGGAAATGAAGGATGCATTTGAAGCAGCCTTCGTCTCGTTGCTGTGACGTAATCGGCCTTCAAAGGATGCAGCCCCTGAATTGAGACACAGCCTATATCTCTGATTCAGGGTGGACAATCTGTGGACACAGCCCCAAGCTCAAGTTTGACAACATGGACGTCCCTTTTTACTCTCTGAATCTCTGCTGTGTAGGTGAGGACCTGCTCTGATGACTTCAACAACCTCTGCTCTGCGGAGCAGAGGAAGCACCGCCTCCTTAGGTGCAGTGTAGGCATATTAGCATCTGAGGTACTGCAGGGAGGCAGGAGGACTTTGTAACAAGCAACAGTAGTAATTTGTTTTTTGTCAAAGCCACAGAGAGACACTGTATTGGATGAAAGAGTCACATGATCCAGATAAAGATTCAGAACCACAGATTTGTGACGTATGCCCCAGGATGTAGTATGAAGACTAAAGATGTGCTTCAGTCACAGCATACACAGCGTTGTGGGAGAGCATATGGTACACACAGTTCTTCTGTTAAAAAGCATTTATTTAATCATGACCAGAACAAAAGATTACAAATGATCAGCAGATACATGAAATATATCTACCAGAACACATTATTGTATCATTGCAAATATAACTATGTAATGTTAATTAATATAACAATGTGCTCTATGAGGTCCTGAAGTATTCATAAACAAGGCAAGTACATAAGTCCTCATGTAAGATAAATAAACTGAACAAAGCTACGCTGGAGTCCAAGAAAAACACTTTAGAAGTGAACATGAGCAGAACAGCTCTTTAATCCCTGGGCTAACTTAATAATGAGCAGGTATTTATGATGGAATCATTATTCATGCAGAGACTGACTATGGCTGCTTCCAATTACTCTGAATTCCAGTCTTAACCATTAGGGTCAGAGACTTGGTGATCAAACACTTTTTTCAGAGAAAAACATAATAAAATATTTCTGCATCAGAGTCTGACGTGTCTCAAAATATGTGGTCAGGTGATCACAGTGTGTGCAAAGGTTGTTCTGTGTGGCACTTAGTTAGCTGTTTACATTTGGTGACTGCTATCCCTGCGGGTCACACAAAGCTGCTGAGCACTTGGACATTTCGAGTGTAAACCAGAACCACAGTGCAGGGTAGAGGGGCTCAGTGAACCTGCAGAAAACGGTGTGGAGGTGGAGCCGAGTGTCAGAGGTGACATCATAGAAGGACAGAATGCCAGCTGGCCAGTCCAAAAAAACTCAGACTTTTTGAAAACCAGCGGGGCGCCGAGAAAGTCGTATTTCTGTCACTTTGTAATCGTGCCACGCTGAGTAATGATTATCTTTGCAGAGCAGCATCCAGGATCTGTCATTTCCTCCATGCCACGATTCATCTGGACCTTTGTCAGGTCCAGCTTTGTAAGTTACACCTATGGAAACAGTTCCCTTCCACTTTACCTCCCAATAACTTAAACCAGTGAGACCCTGTGTACATAGCACCTGCTCCCACTTATAGTAAACCTCTGGACTGCTAGGAAATAATTCCCACCGTGAATGTAAAATTGGTCGTTTCGACCCAAGTACTGCCTTTCTGTCTGCAGAGAGAGCAAGGTTCCTGTGAGCTGTATCGGGGTCCAGTGTGAGACTGCAGGCAACTGTTGGAAGAAAAATATACAACACTGAGATGTTTCATCACTGCAGTGTTTCTTACAGGTTTTACACATTTGTCCTGATGCATGCTCGGTCGTCAGGGTAAGTAAATCATGTTCATCTGGAGAAATGTCAAAGAGCTGACCTCACAGCTCATTCAGTGCTAGTTTCAGTCATTATGCAAATGTTGTTCATAAGGTTGAAACCTGCAGTCAGCTGATGATGATGTAACGTTTCTAACACTGAAAACGCTGCGTCCAGATCAACTGAATCAACTTTTGGGGTTATACACATTGACATATATTTGTTTTGGTTTTACACATAATCCAGCTGCTCAGACCACAAAACATCTGTTGATGTCTGCTGTCCTGTGCGCTTATGCAAATAACTGTAGTAATTCTGACATACACTTCTAACCGCAAGCTTGTTCTTAAGACAACAATCATAACCTTTACGTGTTACTGGCATGTCCACAATTCCAAGAGGTTAGCCCAAAGCTACAACAATATGACAAAGGTAGTTTTTTAGACTGAAAATAGAGAGTCATTCCATCTCAAATCAGTCTGTTTTTACAACATTTTCTCATTGACCATTATTAATTTGGATACATTTTTATGGTCCAATGTTTGAATATTAAAGAGTGCTTTGAAAGTTTCGCTTTATGAATAAAACACTTGAAGTTATTTTGTTTTTTGCTTTGAAAAATCAGTCTACACACTTTCAGGCCTCTTTTATTTGCACATTGAAATCTACAGCAGTGTTTGAACATGAATATCAAAACCTTTGTGTGCAGCAGGATGCTGACGATTCAGTTAACTAACCACAGGTGCCATTAATAACACGTTCATGTAGGTTACATTAATGCAAACTAGTGCACACTGTTATTGACACATTTTCAGGAATTAAATATAGTCTTCAGCTTCCCAGTTAAAAAAAAAAGACTTAATGAATTACTTACCCTTCTTTGCACCCTCTGCTCCTGAGTAGTCCAGCCTGAAACGAAGAGTAAAAAAATCATTCGCGCTCACATTCGCTCCCGTATTCTCACCTATGGGCAATTTAGACTAATCAGTGAACCTATCCCCACAAACTGCATGTCTTTGGACGGTGGGAGGAAGCCGGAGTACCTGGAGGGAACCCACACAAACACGGGAACGTGCAAACTCCACACAGAAAGACCCGGGGATGATGGTGGAATTGAACTCAGGACCTTGTTGCTGTGCGGCAACAGTGCTAACCACCGTGCTGTATAACAATTACATTTATTATTTCCAAAATGAAAATTAATTTTAAAAAAAGCAATCTAATAGTCAGTTTTATACGTATTTTACGCACGTCTCATGCAGCTTGTGCTTTCCATAGTTTGATTTGTTAGTGAAAAGTGTTTTTTACATTTTTCCTGATACAACATGTAATTAAAAGGATTAAGTAAGAATGAGGCATATAAGTCTCAGTGGTCTGCTCCGTGGGATGAATGAGATTTGTCTCAGGTTCCGTAACATTCTGGATGTTGTGGGACTGTCTTAGTTGTCTTTCTGCTATTTTCATCCATCATCCATCAAAATCTTTTTAAAATCTTTTAAAATTTTAAAGAGGAACAGCTGCTACTCCAGTTAGGATGCCTCCTGGTGGTTTTGTCCCACTGAGAGACAGACCCAGTCTCCCCTTATCAAATCCGCGTCTATGTGTTGTGTTTCCTGTTTTACTTTGTTAGTCTGTGTCTCATGTCAGTGTGTCTAGTTTGGCTTCCTCTGATCTTGTTGTGTTTGATTACTCCCAGCTGTGCTCTCCTCCTGTGTCCCATCCCCTCGTTATCCCTCAGTGTATTTTAGCCCTGTGTTCAGTGTTGCCAACTTAGCAACTTTGTTGCTATATTTAGCGAGTTTTCAGACCCCTTAGCGACTTTTTTTTTTAGAAAAAAAAGACGTGAAAGCGTGTATCGCTTTTACTCTCAACAAGCAGCGGGTGCTGTGACGCAGTACAATTTTTTAATCTAAAACCCCCCAAATTATTGTCTAAAATATACAGAACACTTTGTAAAATAGATGAATCAATATCCCTTCCTATTGCAAAATGGGAAGCAGATTTATCGATCAGCTACAGCGCTGCGGCGATCATCCTCGATGTATTGCAGATCCG